TTCTATCATGCATAGTATAAAAGGGTTGATAGGTAATTGCCAACCTTTTTTTGTGTAGTATGTTCCGACATTATTCTGATTTAGGGAAGGAGGCCTTCTTAAAGTTTTGATTCATGTTCACCTTTTTCATTCTCTGAGCACGAGATAAAATCAGTAAGTCACACCCACTAACGCATTGTCAGGGCAGCATGTTGTTCCTGTTGTACGGGCGTTACACAACACATGTAACTGAGATAAGCTCAACCTGATCAACGGAAAACATTGCTGCTTTGACTTCACTTGATATGGCTCATGTTGAAGCTCTGGTAAACATCCTAATGATTATAGTCACATCTGAGATCATATCCATTACAGCAATAAAGTCCTTTTACACCTGCAGCCACAAGGCCAGCAGGACTGATGAGTGCTGTAGTAATCAAGGATGCTTTGAAGGAATGACACAAAGATGCATGGAAGGAGGAAATGGATGGAGCTGATGTAGCTGCGGAAGGATGAACAGGAGAACTGAGTGAGAATCATATGAGTAAAGACAGATGGAGGGAGGGAAGAGGGAGAGATGGAAGGAGCAAGGGAGAGATAGACATGGTGTATGGAAGTGAATGGCTTTTAATAAAACCCTGCAATATGATGTCATCCTCAGAGAGCAGCTGCGTTTATACTGTACCACTCATGGAGCTCCACACAGCAGAAACAGCACCAGCCTTCCTTCATCCTTAATCCCTTTCCTCTCACCTCCCATCTTCTTCTTCTCTCAGTAATTACACGTAGACACGTTTCCTTATTGAGCCATAAAGACCGACACCTTCATGAGTGAATGACTATAGATAAAGTCACACATCTCCAGTGACATTGAGCTTCAGTGCACGTCATCCTCCTGTGGAACTGACTGATGCGGAATAACTGACTGAATGATCTTCTGGGGGTGAAGGAGAGTGTTGAGGTGGGAAGGAACCATGTATTGAATATGCGTATATTTACTGTACTGAAGTAATGTATTTTAGAGGAATTTGTGCTGAGTATTTGCATTTTTGGCTTTTGTACTGAACTTCTATTCAAATTAAAATATGTTGCTTTAATACAATTGTATAGTACCAATCTGCCCCCTTATATAGCATCTATTAGTAATATATATTAGGCTGCTCGATTATGGCAAAAATCATAATCTCGATTATTTGGGTCAATAATTGATATCACGATTCTTAAAGACGATTATCCATTTACTTTGAAAACATCAATTTATTGAAATAAAAAAAGGTGTAGTATGTTTTTAACAGTTGATTACCCTGAACTTTAAGTATAATTCCATTGAAAAACCAATACAAAAAATAATATATATAAACATTTTTAAATAAATAATAATACAAAATTAAAATAAAAAATCGTTTTATTTCGATTATGTTGTTTTCATAATCGTTGCAAGCCAAAATCGTAATTGCGATTAAAATACGATTAATTGAGCAGCCCTAATATATACAAAACAAACATATAATAAATGGTTTAATTAAGTGTTAATGAATATTTGTCAACAAAAAAAAATGATATTTAAAAACACCTGCTATCGGATCATGACAACATCGTTTTGCATTACGAACAATGCATTTACTGTAAAAAGATTCTTAAAATGATAAATGCTAAATATGTTACATTTAGTGTTAGATGTGCTTATATAAGATATTAGTAAATATATCGTAATCTAAACTGTGACATTTAGGGAACTATAAAGAACAGCCTTGTTTGTAAAATGTAAATACATTTAAAAAAAGAGAGGACACTGTCAGTAATGTGGCTGCACCTATTCTGTATGCTGCTTTAGAAAAAAGCCAAATAATTAAATGTAAACATACAGAAATAATAATCTCTAAAGTTATAGCTGAATCTGTGTAAAATGATCCGTATGGAGCACTGTTTGGGTCCACAGGCAGCAGTATTAATATGAATTGTCAAGGGAAGATGAATACGATAAATTCAGGGATTAGCACAGGACCTTTTGAAACTGTCATCAGCTCTCAACTTCAATATAATGTCTGAAAACAATGACATGCCATAATGTGCTCAAAACTAAAGCATGGCCGTTTTTAACAGTCAAAAAAACAAAGGGTAATATTCAGGAGGATTTCCACAATGATTGGATTTCCTTTGGATTTCCTGGATCAAAGTAATATCTTGAAATGTTTCCGTGTATACAGTAGGAGATGATGGTGGGGTCAAAACCGGGGCTTTTGTTCGCCGTGACAACCCCAGTGCAAGCTGGCTTTGACCAATCAGAAGCAGCAGACAGCTCCGTAAGCTGCTTGTTCTTTGAGTCCAGCGAGGTGAGGATAAATAACCTTTAAGCATTATAACTCTGATCCTCATCATCTCATACAAGCGTGTACGCATGCACACAGTAACGGACGTTATAATCCCTGTTTTGTGCAAATCCTAAATGTAATGTATTTTGAAAAAAAAACACATACAGTAACCTTAGACTCCTAGATGACACGATTGACCCACGGTGGGT